AGCTGTTGAGAGAAATTTCTTTCAGTCCTGATAATAGCTCCCTAGGATTGGTATGGGAGTCGTTTTTCATGCGTTTATGAAGGAAGTCCAAGAAGTGAGATACCGCGTTGTCGTGTAAAGTAAGCGTACGCAAATTTGGAAGATGATCGAGCAAAATCCCAGCATGGCAGTCACCTCTAAGTTTTTCCGTCAGCTCCTTGATGGTGAGGTGAGTTATTCTGTGAAAATTGTTGTTAGAGGAGAGGAATTGGATCATGTCTGTCCAGGAAGTATCTGGGGCCTGTGCAGGCATCGTAATCAACGTCAACTTGCAAAGGGCTGGCATTTCTAATGATGCCAGAAAGGATAAACGATTTTGCAGCAGAGTGAATCGTAGTTTTATATGGCGTAAGTGACATAAGCTGGTACCACCCAAAGAGAAATTCGAGGGGACAAACTGTGGCGTATCTTCCATGCCAATGTCGACCTCCAAGGTTTCCAGGAAAGGAGTTATGGAAATGATGGCAATTATTTCCCGAGAACTCATGGCAGTACTCATAGGACGTTTGTTCCGAGTAAGCCTGAGACTACGAAGTTGACTCGGAGTATTGGATGAAGGGAATTGCGCTTCTATATCCACTAAAATCAATTCTTTTAAATCAGAAATAGTAGACTCGGAAAGTATTAGCTTGGACATTTGAACACCCGCTTCTCCGACCACAGCAAGAGATTCGAGATGGCCTCTTGTGGATATCGTGTTGACTAGATTGCTAGTACTCTCTTCAAAGCCTTGGTTACATCGAATCTGAAAGCATTTAACTGGTTGTGAATTTAGGAAGAGCTCGAGTTTCACTCTTGCATGAAAAAAGCTGGCCACAGTATTGGGAGTGGACAACAGCCTCAGAGAAATCGGATAATCTCGAACCATCTTCCGGACATTAGAGCCTGGCTTGACCGAAATAATCAGTCTAAATATGTGATTTGGATCAAGTTCTGCAATCCAAAAGCGCCACAGGGACTGTTGCTCTTCTGACTCCATGATGGCTCGCCATCGTTTATTGACGCTAGCCAAAGCATAGGTCGTTCCGAAAGGAGATCGGGATACCTGAGTGGCATCACCCAATAAAAATTGGCGTTCGCTCTCTTCTACTTGCATACTCCATGTATAATAAAAAATGGATGCCAAATCTTTGTCATCCAATAGATCAATTCTCCTTCCCAATCTGTGCTGCAGGCCTTTTATCTCTTCATCGAGACATCCTTCGATCTTCTGGAGGGCCGTGACACCGGAATCACAATACCTCATCACAGAAGCGGCCGAACCTGCTTGTTTCGCAAGGTTATCGACTTTCACTTGAGTCACCTCGACTTCATTTCGAAGTTGAGATAATCGGTCTGCTAGGGCCTGTTTATCCTTTTCGGTTTCCTCTAGGCGATCTCGCCGATATCCAGTATGCACGGCCTCTCCTGGTTGAGCACGTGGTGAATGTAGAGTGGAGCGGAGCAACGTTGCCTCCTCGGTCAGATTTTCTAGTCTTTCTTCTTTCTTGGTGCAATCGATATTCATGTGACTGAGTGTTCTAGAAAGATCCTCGTATTCAGTCGTCACCTTCTCGTGGTGCGTTTGCCACTCTGGAAGATGTGATGTAAGGTTCTGTAATGCTATCTGCACACTGGTGCGAAGTTGGGCATAAATGCTTTGGATCAAGAGAAGGTTATCACGCTCATAGCCTTCCGCCAAGTCCGTCAAAACA